AAGATGTCTACGGTCAATCCAGAATTAGTAAGAAAATTTAAAAATGCCAGAAAAGTTTTTAGTGAAGATCTTGATTCTAAATCTGAACCAGAAGTTCGCGAAGATGAAGAACAATCTATTAAATTACAAGAAATAATTGATATTTTGGTAGCAGCTGGATATTTCAGAGCCAGAATTAAAGGTCTTTCCTCATTTGATAAAGTGGTTGGAGGAATGGTTTGGTGTATCGAATCTTGTAATGTAGATTTAGATGTAGATCTTCTATTCAGAGAAAATCTTAGTATAGGTCAAAAAATAGCATTGACGGAAAAAATAGTGGCTGTATTGCCAAAACTTAAATGTCCTCGCACTATAGAACCTCATCAGATACAAGGATTAGATTTCATAAATATATTCCCCGTCATACAGTGGCTTGTAAAAAGATCTTTAGAGTGTCGTCAAGAAGTGGCTTCCTTTGTAAGAGCATGTGCAATAGATCAATTTAATAAAAAGTTTCCAATTTTGGATAAAAATCATGAAAAACATTCCACTTTATTAGAAAACTTAAATTTAGTATCGGAGATTTATCGACCGCATAGATATTATAAGAGAAAAAACGCTGGTCAAGTAGATTTAAAGTCTCAACTTCAAATAACACTTCTCGAATATGGACATAGTGATGGTAGTCTACAAGACACTATATCTGAAGACAAGCAAGTTCCAGATGAACATAAAATTTCTGATTTGAATGAAGACCACCGTAATAATCTAAACGAACATTATACAGCTCTGCAGTTAGAATTAAATGATGCAGGTATCCAGTCCCGAGATCAAATTATAATTGACTCTCTGGAAGAGAAAAAACAAATATTTTCTGAAAAATGTAATGAATTTACAAAACATCAAGAGTCCTTAGACAACGAAATTGAAAATAATAAAGCAGTTTTGCAAGAATTAAGAAATAAACTGCAAGCAGCTACTGAAGAATTACATGAATTAAACCAGGAAGAAAGTGAGACTTCGAAAATTAAAGAAATAGAAGATCTAATAATATTAAACGATGATTTAAAAGCTCAGGAAATTCAATTTAAAGACCACTGCAAAAGAGAGTTGGAAACTTTAAATAAATTAATAGAAGAAACTAAAAAAGCGAAAATCAATGCCCCTGTGGAAACTTGTACAGACTTGACTGATGATATAGATGACACATTAAACAAAATACGTGTTCTCAGAATAAAACTTGCCAAAGTTAATAGAGAAGTTGCTTTGTTACAGAGACAAGTCGATGATATTCCTAAGCGAGCAGAATTGGCACAATATCAAAAGAGGTTCGTTGAATTATATAACCAAGTGGCTGTCAAGCACAAAGAAACGAAACAGTACTATAGCCTATATAATACCTTAGAAGATACTCGTTTTTGGATGAAAAAAGAACTATCCCTTCTTAATTCCATTATTGAGAGCTATCCTGAAGCTTTGATTTCATCAAAATCCAAAGAAGAGTTTTTGGAGCAATTTCAAAATATTATTGAAAACGTTCGTAGTTCTAAATCAAAGGCTGAGCAGAAATTAGATAAAGAAAAACAAACTCGAGATCAGTTAAGCGACACTTTGCATAGTTTGGTGGAACAACAGAGAAAATATGTTGCAGCGATAAAACAATTAGGGGTTGAATGTAGAAAACAAGAAATATTAGTTAAAACCTATTGTTAAAGTGATTGATATTTATTTATGTTATACGGTGTAACATAATTTTGCATTGTTACTGTTTATGTTGTTAGCATTTATGCTAGATTTCTAGTTTTAAACAATGTCACTCTTTTTCTAAAGTATTAGATGTTGCGTGGAAATATCACTTTGAATGTCGTTTTTTTTTTTGTTATGTTGAATACGGGTTTTGGTGTTTCCCTGTACATTTACTTTTAACTTAGTCCCTAGACTGTAGTAAACTGCTTGCCTGTAAAGTGCTGGTTTTCCTTTGTCGTTGTAGAAAATAAAAGGCTAGCTACAATTAACACCATTTAATAAAAAATCATCGAACTGTTACATCACAAACGAATAAACACTTTTCTGCACCCAAATGGATATTAGCTTATCTACGCACCGACTACAAAACGAAAAAGTATGTCATTACGTTCAACTGATTGAATATATTTCATATCCATTCTAGGTAGTGAGAACACCGTAAAAAAATTAAATCCACCAATCACAGTTCATATTTTGGACACCCAACAACTATTATTTTTAAAATTTTCAATAAGTGACAATCCTGTCAAACTAATTGTCAGTATATTTTTTAATTATTAAGATTAAATATACATTAAAATGAGTTATTTTTATGTAGAATCGATAAATAATCGTAAATAATAGCATTTCTATTTTTATTTGAACCATATTTTGAAACAAGAATTAAATTTTATTCAAACTATATGAACCTATTTTAATTACTAGTAATAAAACCGATATCGTAAAAGTGGCTGTAGAAGCATGGATAGAATACTTAAGTTCCACGCGAAAAGCCGGGGATCGATTCTCGGCTGATGACTAATTTTTTTTCATATTTATTTTATTTTAAAAATCAGTAAAATTCAATCAATGGCTGTTTTAAGGGAAATGTTTAGTACACGTAATCTCGTTACTTGGAGATGTTGAATGGCCTGCGCGTTCACCCGATCTTGCTCTACATGACTTTTTTTCTTTGGGTATACCTGAAAGCGAAGGTTTGCCAATTCCGTCCCCGAACCATTTACGAATTGAAAGCAGGAATACGCTAGAAAATTGCAGGAATTCAGATCGGCTTCGATTGTGTATTGAAAAAAATGGTTGCTATTTGAACTTTGTATGTTCAAAACTTAAATGAAAAAAAAAAATGGCATATTATACATTTCCAGTTCATAAAATGAAATTCTAAATAGGTTTGAAAAGGCAATTTTATTAAAGTTTAAAATGTGGGAGATCATTTTGCCTGACCCTGTATATACCTAAACGAGTAAGTGTATTTTACAGTGTTTTCAATTATGGATGGAGTATGTGGCTATTTTGGACGGGACTCATATATCTGCTTTTGTCGGTCATGGCCTACTGTAGAAATACATTGTCATGAGTTATGTCATCAAAATTCCTAAGTAATATAGTTTTAAGTACCACATAATTGTACTTTGATAATTTCCAAATGTTTCCTAGAACAGTAACATTGTCATTGCTGAAATCGTGGTGTTTACTATTACATTGTATACGATAATTGTTCATTTAAGTGAAATAGAACTTTTTAAAAACCCAAAGTGTTGAAAGAAAAACTTAATTGGCGCAGTCCGTAGGATCCAGGAAGTAAAAACTTAGAAGAAAACTCAGTTTCACCGTTGGTTTCAACCATTAACCTGGACCGAGCAGTACTACGAAGAAAATAAAACTCTGAACAAGTAACTGTTGAGCTCATATTTCCTTCGTTTTCATCCTTTACTTTCCCAAGTGAATTTTAAATTTGAAAATAAGTTATTTTCCTTCTTTTATAAAAGTTATATTTCACATTCTCATTGGTACAAAGCTAAAATCTTTCTTTTGAAAGTGAATTTTCCTAAAAATCATTATCTACACATTATTATTAAACTTAATATTTTTACATATTTTTTTTGCACATTAAGAATAATTTCAAGTGACGTAAGCATATTCTTTTGACCAAATAATCAAAAGTGAAATCCTTACATGAGCATAGACCAAATTACAGATTCTTTGAATAATCTAAAAATTGTACCTAAAATGGCAACTATTCAAGCCTCCAAAGAAATTTCACACACCCTTCGTGATTTCTCCGGACGTAGCGAGCATCTCGAAACATTCATAAATGCTGTGGATAAAATTTTTGATAGATTCGGAACCACTGCAGGTAATAACTTAAGCGAGTTTGTATACGCGGCTATTTGTTCAAAAATTGTTGATGAGGCTGGCGACTTTTTACTATGTCGCCCAGATTTAGATACGTGGCCACAAGTCAGAAACACCCTTCGCGAAAAATTCGGATACAAAATTGACCGACACGTATTGGAACAGCAATTTATATTTTTAAGTAGAAATAGAAACGAAACAGTTATAGACTTATTAGAACGACTTAAATTAACTAAAATAAGACTAAATTTAAAAATAAATTCTGACCCAGAAATTAATCCAGCGACAAAATTAGTGCTAATTAACCAAAACGAAATTACTGCTGTTACAGTATTAATTTCTAGTTCTAACGCGGAATTACGAACCCTACTCTTATTAAAGAACCCCAGAACCATAGAAGAAGTAACATCCCTAGTAATAAATCACTGTGCTAGAACATCAAGTAAATATAAGACATTCTGATCACACAATAACATAATCACCAAAATAATAAATCGTTTCAATCTAACTATTTTTCAAAGCCCCAGCAAAATAATTTCCCTAGAACTTCGCATTACCAAACAATACAACGCCAACCTATATATTACCCAAACAATCATAATAACCGAATGTCAAATAATGCTCCTAATAATTATTATAACCCGCAAAATATGCAAAGAACCCCATTTCCAAGTCAACCTATAAACATTCAACACCGACCAATTCAACAAAAATTCTTAACAAACGAGCAAGTATTCGGCAAACCAACAAATGTATTTGCACCCAAAAATTCTCACAAACCCACAGGTAAACCGGAACCAATGTCCACCTCAAGCAGACTACCATCAACGAGGAATTTCGCGCAAAATTATAGACCCCAAAATCATTTTCAAAACCGCTACGCAAACAACGGAAAACTACCTTTCGTGTTCGAAGAGTTAAGGGGGCGTCCATTAATTCTGTGGCTTGGTCGAAAAAGGGCCTATCTAAGAAAATTAAGTTTTGAGATAATCAAGGATTTATATGAAAAAATAAAATACTTATTACTCAAATATTTTTGTTTAGAATTTAATAAATTTTTGCTACAGTATTCAAAAAAGTAATGTTATCCATAAGATATATATTTTTTTAATAATTACAAGAATTAATAAATTTTTGATTGTTAGGCCCCTGCATTTTTTAATTCATAAACATAAGCCCTAATTATGATAGTCACATGTAGCATTTAGGCCCAAAAAAATGGTACTTAGGCCTTATCATTAACAAGAACAGTACATAGGCCATTTTTATTAAATAGAAACGTTGTAAAAAGTAAAATAAAACTTCAGTAGTCTTAATAGAAATGATATTTAAGAAAAAAAAAACATGGTTTTATACTAGAAACATAAAATATTATTTTTATAATAAAAAATAATAACACAAAATCTGTTACTCGTCATATTCTACCGAACCTATCGGACCATCTTCGTCTTCATTGTTTGATGATTTTAAATTCATATAAAAAAGTCGACTATTAGGATGTATGTAACATAAGACTTTTGATATCGTCCAATTTCTTTTTTGGGAGAGGAAGGGGATAGGAGTTGTGTAAGTTTTCTAAGGTGGGCAATGCTTCAGCTAATAGTTGTCCTTTTTTCTTTTTTGTTATATCCCACACTTTAAATTCTTCTTCCAGAAAGCTTTGTTTGTAGAAAATTTTTCCAGGACTATTCTTAGTGTATCTAAAATAGTTTGATTTTAGAAACAACATCTGTTCTCCATCGGCATTTTTCTTTCTGTTTATAAAATATGCTTTTTGAAGAGCACTTATATTAAAGAAATCATCCTGTAACATGTCAATTACTTTAATTCCACCTTTTCGATGGATACCTTTGACAAGTGTAGACCAGTCTCTGGGCATTTCTATGTCTATTGAAGTGTGTTTTTTGGCCTTTTCTATTGATGCGTGAATCGAATCTGCTTCGAGATGTGTATGTCCAGAGATTAGGAATTTATGATTAATTTCTTTTAGATTGTGACCTGGTGGCAAAAATTGAAATACCAAAGAAAGCATTGTTGAGACATAAATATTTTTGTTCTGGCCTGAGCAGCAGTCACTATATAAATTTAGAGTAGTTGTAGAAAAGGGCAAGTTCCTTATGTACTTCAAAAGACAAGATGCAATTTCTTGTCCACCACGACCTGATGTAGTTTCATCCCACATAAAACAAAAGGACTTGTTGTCAACATCATTTGAAACCTCATAGACAGTTAAATTAAAAACCCACAATTGTCTTTTATAAAATGCGATTCCACTTTGTAAGTGAGGAGTCGATAAACACTTTTGTAAATCAAACATTGCAGTAATAACGGTGCCATCACTTTTGCTTTTTTCTTTATCTTTCCTCTTTTCTTTGTATGCGTTATCTGCTGCCTTTAAATGATCTTGTTTTTCCCTTTCGTAATTTATTCTGTCCCCTTCATCATTGGAAGCTTTAATTAAAATTTCTAATTTGTCACATTTGCCACATGTATCATTGTGAGGTGTATGGAATAATATGTTAAATTCTGTCACAAAAACTTTCCTATAAAAGTGTTCAGAAACAGGATTTTTTTCGATTTCTTTGCAGTACAGTATGTAAAGTCTATACATTTGTTGGATCGAAAGATCCGAAGATAGGTATCGTTTGTCAGAGTGTGACCTCGAATAATGGCTTCTGTAGGCTGGAAATTTTGATATATGTTGCATTACAATCTCTTTGTCTTCTTCTGCTATTTTAGGGTGATTTCCGTGCCTTCCTCTTTGGTCTGAACTACATAAACCGCTTCCAGATCTACATTTCTCAACTGTGTACCTCAGTCGTTTAAATCCTACATTGAAGGTATTCATGAACATTACTTTACACACTTGTACAGGCAATCCCTCTTTTTTTAACAGATAGCTACGAGTAAATGATCGTCTGCTTCCTTCATTTGGTTTATTACGTCGTAACTTTTTAAATTCGATTACTGATGTTGACAAAAATTGAGTTTGTTCGTTATACGTTAAAGGATAAAAATCATTAAAAAGGCTTATTCTTTCCTCATGACTGAACTTCTCGTAGCATTTTCTTCTGCATTTACATGGTGCTTTTAAGCTTCTGGCTTTGACGGTTTTACCCTTTTTTGTCCTATATTCTTGGCCTTCAGCTCTTGCAACCTTTCTTTTATTAATTATCCAATTACGCTCATTTCTATTTCGTTTCCGAGACTTTCTTTTTCCTTCGTCATTACTTCTTCTTCAAAATTACTACTTTCTTCTTCACTTTCTGCACTATAAGTAGTATCATCAGAGTCAGTTGCAAATGGGTCGTTATTTTCCTCATTGCTGTCGTTATCCTTGTCCTAAAAAGTATACAAGCTATTGCTTAAATACAAACGAAACCTACGTATTGTACGTACATTTGCTGGATCCTCGGGAATTTCATCAGCACTATAAATGGTTATATCCGGCATATCCTTAGCATTAGTAATGAAACTAGTAGGAGTGGATTTCTAAAATAAATAACATTTTATTCTTATTTGCTGAAAGTAATGTGCAAAGAGCTAGTAAAAACTTAGCTCATGTTGTAAAGTTACTTTTTCTAAGTTTATTATAAAAAGTACATGTTTTTTTATCATTTTCTATGCATAAAGTGGGTCTTTATGAAAAGTATGAAAAAAAGTTCAAAAGTGTCAAAAAAAGTGCCATAACGTGTCATTATTTCACACTTTTTTTCATTCTAATTAATTCTAGTCGACTATGATTTACCTTTTGTTTCAACTGCGAACTGACAGATCGAATAAATATCACGTTAGAGGTAGTTATCGACGCCATTTTTAGTCCAACGAATTAATATTTTTTTAGTTTTTGCGTGAACTTAGAAAAAATAGTGTATGAAACTCGTGCATAAAGCATCTTTTTTTTAAAGTATAGTAAAACTGGATCCAAAATGCTTTACACAAACTTTTGTGATTGCTCATTTTGATATTATTTAGCGCTTGGCAACAACAACTGTTAAGACTGTTATGCAAAAAGCAATTTCCAGATCTTGTTTTGCAATGTTCTGTTATTACTTGTTACTTTAGTAGAATGTACGAATGAATTTACCTGAATTTCATGATCCTCCCATATTATATCAGATTTTGTAACTTGATTTAAATGATTATAATTCTCCAATACATCTTGAACCATTTTCTGTGCACGTGACTGTCGAGATTTTTCATTTTGCAGAGACATTTTGCTACCTAAACAAAGCAGTTTTTCTTTTACCACACAAATCAGTTATTCTTTTATTTTACTACACAAATCAGTTATTCGCTTTCTACACAAAAAGTTTAGCATTAAACTTACCTAACTAGATAGTTCATCAGTTTTAAATCCACATTGAAATCTAATTTTGGACGAGAACACACAGACACTCTAACAGTCATAAAAGCTAAGTTTTGAGGTTATGTTATGTTTTCCGATCACATGTTTAAGGGTCTATGTTTTATTTAAACCGGAACGAAATCAGTGACTTTAAATTAACAAGGGCCTAAGTAGCAAATATACAAAATAATAAATGCATATATTTCACTTAGGCCTGGCTTAATTATTACATGTGAGAATAAAAAGGGCCCAAGTACATATAGACCCAATGTTTTAAAAATAATTTAACCTATGTTGCAGTTAGGCCTTTCAAGAAAAATTAAGAAAATTATTTAAAAGGCCTAAGAATACATAGGCCAACTTTTTCAGGCCTATTAATCACTTATGCCCATTCAACTTCTAAATTTTCACCAATTTACAGTTCATCAAATTTCTAGAGGTGTTCGACGCCCAGACAGAAAACGCGCTACGTGTGACTAAGATAGCTATTGTACAGTCTGCTAAACAAGTTATTTTAAATAGTTTTTAATATTTTTAGGTAATTAAATTTTAAAAGTGTGGAATAGTTTAGGGATTAAATTGGTCTGATTGGACTTTCTTAGAACGTTTTTAAAAGCAGCTAAAGATAGTATGTAGAATTGAAAATAATTATTATGCCATAAAAGGTGTTTTGGAATTCCTTCAACCTTTTGAAATTGAGTCAGAAAATATAAATTTTATAGGATAGCGGAAAATACCTATAATTTTTTTGTAGGCCTTTGTAAATCGTGGAAATAGTTTATATTTTATTTCTACCTTATTAAGGAAAATGGTACCTATTATTAAAATTTTCGAAATTTTGTTTTTCTACAAAATAATAAACTATACTATTTAGAAAAAAATTTATTTCTCTTATAATTTTATAAAAAATAACAGGAGAATATTTACATTTCTTGATCTATTAAACAAAACGATAAATTATCTCGACGAATGACACCATGTTCTAGTACGGAAGCTAGCTTTACATTTTTGTTGGTGGTTTCATGGGTTAATTTCATATCAATTTTTTGTAATTGTAGTTTACACGTACATATACCTCTTAACACTTGTTTGCTTTATTAAAAAAGTGTGTTGTTGTGATTTACGTCGAAATAAGTCAAAAACAACTTGAAACCCCATATAAAATCAAAAAGGAGAAACGGAAAAAAATTGAGCCTGTAAATGAACACAACTCAGAAACAAAAATAGCTATCTAATAATAAAAAAATAAAATTTGATTCTTGTGCAGCTTCATCTATATCATTAACTGTTTTTGTTTTTTAATGGTTTTTCTTGGTGATGAAAATTCCGATATCTCACGGTTATCGATTCTTTTTTTCTCTCCAGAAATGCGGACGACAGTGTTTTTAGATACTCCTGTGGCTGCAGCAACACGATCATTTACATTTTTAAATGGTATTGAAGGTGAATTAAAGTTTCCTTCTCTTCTCATAAACTCTATAACATTGGCTATTATTTCGCGAGATTGACTGTTAATCACGCGGCCTCTCAATTTGCTATTAAACTCCATACTTAGGTTCTATTAAACTCTCTGTAATGAGCAAAAAACACAAACGAAAATAAAAGAAATGTTTTAGCGAAATTTACATCTGACATTTACGTCTGAATGAAATAGTGAAATACTTGATGCGCATTGTGTACTTTCATTGCGTAAATCCGTCGGGATGCCTGTCAGTAGTGCTTTCTCTGTCTAGCCGTCGAAAGCCTCTAGAAATTTGATGAACTGTAGTTAGATAAGACCAATTGAAATGGGCCCAAAATGAACATAGGTCTTTATAGTCATTAGAGTTTTTGCATTTAGGCCCTTTTTACATTCAAATTTTCGTAAATAGCAGCTTTATTTACTTAAGACTTTTTTCATTAA